TGTGTGTTTTTTTTTTGTGTTACTCTAAGAAAATTGGCTCAAATTTAATTTTGCATATCTATAATTTGAATAGCTTAAAAACATAAATTAGCCATGTCAATGATTTTAACAAGATAACCATCGGTTTTAGGCATCAAGCACCAGCCGAAACAACTAGCAATCGCCACAACAAAAAAGGGTGCAATCCTTTTCCCCTAAATTATTATTATTTTTTTTTTTTATATGTTGCACGCTCATTTAAAGACGATCATTGCTGTCGATGCTGACACGCGCTGGACACACGTTCCCATGGCTAAACGCTACAAACAATTGCCGCAGGCGAGAAAAACCGCTGATATAACCAACACCGTCGCCGCCGACACGCTGAATCAAAAGGATGGACCATACCGACTATGTAACACACATAAATTCATACGTGCATATGTAAGTATGCATATACAGTACGGGCCATATAAACGGTGCCACAATTCGATCCTCAGTACTGAAATTTTTCCGTTTTGGTTTTTTTTGCCGAGAGTATTGCACATTTTCTGCCATATAAAAAATAGGAGAACATACCGAGCTCTAACCGCCCGAAATAACGTAAGCGACATTTTTTTCCTAGAATATCGAAAACCATTTTTTTATGTTATTTTTTCCTAGAAAAAAAATATCGCTTACGTTGTTTTGGCGGTTAGGGCTCGATACTTTGTATGGGAGAAAATGCGTAGCACCTTCAACAAAAAAAAAATATCGAAAACCATTTTTTTATGTTTGAAATTTTTGTGTTTTGCTTTTTAAGTATTGACCTATTAACAAATTATATTCAACAATTTTATTGAGCTTGAGGTCGTTTTTTTTATTTGAAATTTTGATACAAATTTTTAGAATAGTTATAAAGTTTTAAAATCATATTTTGTTATAGAATATACCATATTTAAAAAAAAAAAAATTAATGAATATCCAATAAACAAAACGAAAACTGTCAAAACTGAAGATCAAAAGGTGGCACCATTCAAGTGGCCGGCACTGTAAAAGCGATTGTGGTGTTGAGGGTGCAAGGAGACTACGGAAGTGCAAACCTTCTCATTAACGGTAATTTCTGTAGCCGCTGACTGTCGTAGCGCAACTGCATAGCTAAGCGCCGAGTTGAAACGCTTCTGATGCGAATGACGTGCAAACTATGTATCTACACGGTTGTGTTACTTTTGAGTGTGGCAGGCGTTAGGGGTTGTTCGTAGGGCGTGGCGGTGTTGCGCTTGCGCCGCTGTCATCCTCCACAACGCTGCCGCCTGTCAAATTGACAATCTTAAGTGCAATCTTGTTACAAAGCAATGTAAACACGATTGTTAATTTAACTTTCCGCAACAACAATAATAACAACAACAACAACAACAACAACCACTATAACATATGCACATACATACGTAGCGATAAGCTTAGGCGCTTCAAGCCTCTTCGATGCTTCCCAGGGGTGCAATGAATGCAAGGCCACAATTAAATTATCGCATTTCACAAATAAACGTATGCTTCCGAGGCGATTTCCTCTTCCTAGACAAATATACTCGCGTGCATGAGTATGGGTGTATGTACATATGTGTTTGTGTGTATTTGAAAACTCTCTGCAAAAATCAGTATTAATTTGTTTGTATATTTGTGGTTGTTTTGGTGCCTGTCGTCGTCACCTTTGATTTGATTGTTTGCTCTGCTGGTTGTACTGTAAACTGCTTGTACTTGCTGTTGTTGTTTTCCAATGTTTTAATGCCTATGGCTTATAGCTCAATTGTGCGTTTGGTGTGTGGGAAATAAAAATATATTGTAATTCATTTGCATTATAAGTCGCTCTGATCCGCCTTGAAATGAATGTGGAGGAGGATTTTTTTATTGCTGACCTCAATCGCGTAAGTGGATGGATTTTCGAAACAATCTCTTAATTAGCATACATTTTGTGATTTTTTTTTTATAAATAATCAAACCCGAATACAAGAAATCTTCAAGGTTGGATTAATGGCGGCTTATTGGCTTATTGCCTATTTTTAATCGTCTTGGCTGATTCCTGTAAGAACTGGGATGGAAATCGAGTCGAGGGTACACTGGGGGTTGTTATTGTTGTTGTACCGGCTTTCTTAGCCCGGCCTAAATCGTATAGTACTTCAATCTTTGCCGTCAATCTCAACTAATGGTAGGTTCAGAAAACGCGTTGTTTGGTCGAATTCTGACCAGGGAGAGAGAGAGAGGTGTAGGGTGTATCAAGAAGAAACAAGTAGGCCATTATATTTTAGTTTAATAATGTGCAAATTTCAAATGTCTAAAAATTCGCGTTGCGTTTTGAGAACTTTTTTGCTATAAAAAAAAAATCTGAAAATTTTGTATATGGAAAAGAAAAAAATTTCCTAAAATCAACGCGATTTTTTAGAGACTGACTATTCGTTCTTATTTCCCATTGTTCGCAAAGATATTGAAAAACCACAAATCTGTACACACATCCTCTGCTTATTCACCAACATCCCTTCAGCGCCGCGCTATCCAACTTATAAAAGTGGCCACCACTTCACACTTAATCTCCGAACGTATGCTTGGCCACAAGTTCATAAACAAGCAAAATGGATTTATTTTCAAATGTTTGCTAACTCGTAGAGATTTTGCGTGAGAGAGAAAAGTGTAAGCGTGGCAAATTGATTTGTTTGTTTTGATGTCAAAATTGGTGTAGTAAAGAGTAAATAGAACTATGTACATAGTATTGATATGAGAAAGGTAGCGTGTGCGTAGG